CCAAAACCTCATTTGAATTTGAAACTCTATTATTAGAACCTGAATCCTCATTAGAGCCTAAATCCCTATTAGAGCCTAAATTTCTATTAAAGCCAGAATCCTCATTAGAGCCTAAATTCCCATTAGAGCCTGAATCTCTATTAGAGCCTGTATCTCTATTAGAATTAAGTAATTTGCTTTTTTAGCATAACCAGGATTATATCTCTCTTGAGGCATTTAAATATGTTGCCAATCAGTATGCAGAAACAAGTGGGTTTAAAGTAATTTCATTAAAGGGCAACAATCATAGTGATGGCTTGTATAGTACTCAAGTTTTTTCTTGCGATTGCTCTGGTGTGTACAAGCCCAAGCCTAAAGATTCGAATAAAAAAAGTAGAAATAAAGAATCAAAAAAATATAACTGCCCTTGGTTTATTCATCTCAATTATAACCCAGAAGACTACAAATATTATATCTCATAAATCAATCTCTGCTATTATCATGACTTATTCCTCTTCAACTTATACATGTATTACTTACAAATCGTGAAATACCAGCTTATATTAAAGAAGAAATATTATTTTGAAAAAAGCAAGAATTGCAATACTACAAATCTAATCACTTCTTGTAGTAAAATATGAACTAGCCGCAAAGATGTAGGTAATGAAAGATGTGTATAATTTAATTAATGCTGATCGCATATTATGCAGTGAATTCCAAGCTTATGATTTCCTCCTTTTTCTCCAACAAAAGAGTAACAATAACTCTAAATTTTCTTACAAATTCAAATTGGACAGTAATAATCAACTGAAGTATGTACAGTCATCGGCAAAAGTAACACCTGATTTTTTTATTAAACGAATTTAAAAAAAATACATGATTTTTTTTATGTTTACAGTATATATATAAAAAATTTTTTTTTTTTTGCCTGATCAATATTTGCAATGCCCACCCTTTGCATCAAATACCGCTTTGATTCTTGTTGGAACTGAGTCTACAGACTCCAAAAAAACCAACTTCTCTAATTTCGGCCACTCTTCAATTAGGGCGATTTTGAGGTCATCTACTTCTCTTGGAAAATCTTGTCGGCTCTGAATATTATCCTTCAATACCTTCCAAATGTTTTCGATCGGATTAAGGTCGGGAGATCTTGCAGGCCAGTTCAATTTAGGGATTTTTTTTTCTTTAAGCCAATTGG